TTTCAATAACGTGCTTTAGATGTAATGTCTTGTGTGCTCCTTGAATCTTCAAAGATTAACTATCTGCTGTCGATTACCTTTAACAGTACAATATTTCGTCACCAATTATCACTTCTCTTGGAGCCTGCAATTTCTTTGTGCGTGAGTGTGGAAACTGTTTTTTGTTGGCTCAATGTTTTTTCAATGAGGAAATCCCCATTATTGGAGCATCTGTATAACACACTTCAGCTTCAGTTTAAGTCGATATTGTATTGAAGTATTCAGGCCAAAATGCGCGTGTTCCAATTTAAGTGGACGGAGAGCGCTAGCGAAAAAGGGCACAGAGTTCAGTTCATCTTGATATGAGCAACATAATGAAATTTACAATCGAGATGATACGACCAGCTCTGAGCAGCGGGGATACTTTTAGAACTGGAACTATTTCGGATCTCGGTAATTGGTAAATAAGTGGAACCTGATACGATTGATTCTATTTTGCCTATCTCTCATCTTCGCTTGGGCCAGTTTTTTTTTCAGAGTCGGTCTGTTTAAAAAAAAATGAAGTCAGCCGAACCTGCAGTTTTTTTGTCATTCTTGACACGTTGTCATGGTAACTGAAATGTCAGAACAGCGTCACCCTCTCAAGTTGCAATTTTTTTGTAAGCACCCTCTTGATTTGACTCCTTGGTTTGAGCTTGCAAGACGACTGCCATTGCGTCCCACGGGACAGGTGGATGACCGCGGACTTTGCCTTCCAATTTCGCCACCTGAATCCTTCCAAGGTACTTAATCCTTCGAAAAATTCACCAGTCTTATTGCGATATAGGAAAGGATTTTTATGAAGTGAATGTCGAGTCAGAAGTTAATTAATAACTTGTGAACAATGACAAGTTCGATAGAGGGCGCTGTTTGAGTCAAGCGCTACCTGATGACAAAGTAGTTCGGAAATAGTTCCCATGGAAGGAACGTTTGCTTTTTATTAAAAAAAAACAGCAACAACAACATCAACAACAACCACCACAATAGGAAAAAAAGGTGAGGACAACGTACAAGGGAGCACTTTTGAAGGAAAAACTCAATTGGTTTTTAACAATAAAAATGCTCACTTTTGCCTTACCCGAATTCTGAAGGGGGCGGGACGCTGGGGGGCACAGACATCGAGCGGGGGGGGGGGGGCAACTGGTGTGATACTAGGCCTTTAGTACTACGTTGGCATTGTGGCAAGTTCGACATTCTTCCTCTTCACCAACCGTGAGAATAGCAATCAGTCTCATCCTTTCCAAGTTTTTATTCCTCATTTTACTTGTTTGGGAGGCTTCATAATAATCCAGTTTGGTATCTGGAAGAAGAAGTTTTAACACGCGAGCGTCATGCGAGCGTCATGCGACCGTCCCCTTGCGCCCTCATGCGCCTTCTTCGACGAGCGTTTGATTATCCCGAATGACCCGTGACCCGTATCATTGTGCGCATGCGCAGTTGAAATACCGAACAGGCTATCATCAAAAGACGATCTTTTTGCAAAAATTTCGACATTAAAAAGAAAGAAACGCAAAGCAATGTGGGTACAGCTTACCGTAAAAGTGTTGAGCCTGAACCCGGGTCACTTTTCAACAAAAAATCTTCCCGATGAAAGCTGAGGTCACCAGTGTCCTTGGATTTACAGCTAGGGTACAAGTAAACACAAGGCAACGACTCGTGCTTGTCGCCAAACACAGTCTAATAAATGGCGCCCACTACGTTGGGAGGAAGAAAGCCGACCCAAGAGACAGCTCAAAACTGCAGAGGCTACCTATGGCCATTTCTCATTAAAGGAAAGTACGCGTTTCTGGAGGTAGAAAAAAAGCTAACGCCATACAAAACATGTACTCCTTGCCCTTTTATGTAAAATAAGTTATTCACATCAATATTATAATCGACGTATTGTGTACATTTAAACCATTAATTATAACGTTGAAATAAATAATTCCTATGAACAAGCTGCAGGAAACAAATTCAAGAAAACAAATCAATCATAATCAATATTTGTGATTTACATTTCAGGTTTTAGACAGTAGATTTTCTACTGTGTTAACTTTGCTTAATCCGTACTTTTTGTTCATGGGAAGCCGTGTACATAAACAAGAGTCTTAAAAAAAACATGTAACAACGTTAACTTCGAGCAATTTTGAGCAAAAATAAAAAACAGTTTTTATTTCCGCTGTTGGATATTCATTTAAAAAACAATGCTCATAAACGAAACACCTTACCGCTGGTGATTCCGGCTACTTTGAACCCTGCTTAAATGCACCCTGATGACCAGGTGCATATTGCTTTGTCAGAGTGAGCCCTTGCATTACAGCTTAAAGAATTTCATTAAAGTGGAATTTGTCAGGGTTATATCTTCGTGGCTTTTGCTTCAGCGCATTTCCTAAACTGTCGTAACGCATATATGGGCGAAAATGTTTGAAAGGTTAAAAAGGAGGTACCCCGCGTGTATGACTTTGTGTTCACCCTTGGCGTTGTTTTTTTATCAAAGTAAATGGATTTTCACCAATTTAATGGCCTCTCCCGTTGTGACCAAGATGCTTTACTAGTTTTTCTGCATCATTTGCTAGGTCTCTTGCCAATTTTTTTTTTTTTAATTCATCTGGGAACTCCGAACGTGCAAAATCCACACCTTGATATAATAACAACATTTGCAGGTTAGCTTGTGTACCGTGAAGTCAGCACGGGTGGGTATCACTTGCGCAAATTGGGTGAGGATATATCGACATTCACGCGGGATTTTTTGACGCCAAGACCGCGGCAGACGACATGCACCAAAATTGTGATAGCTGAAACCGGATCGCGGATAAAGATTCCCGCCGATGCTCGGTTGCCATGGGGATCGAGATAGAAACTGTACTTTTTGGACCAGCCATCTGATGTTTTCTCGGGCTCCCCAGTGGGCCTTCTTAGAGTAATAAATCGCCTGCCAGGTATACCTATCGGATCATGTGTGTTAGAGTTTGCAGTCGAAGCAGCTGGTGAAGTCAACAACTTTCTTATTTGACACGAGAAGTGAGATGAATCGATCCCCTCGTCCCGGCCCACTGCATGCATGGAACCAGAATTTTCTTTTTTTGGCGGGAACGATTTTTTTGGTATCACATTCGAGGTATATGGTACATTTATGCGAGCAGAAATGTAGTCTGGTTTCCGGTCTCAGTTATATTGATTACAATGATGTACATCACGAGGCTAGACGCGGCAGAATCCACGTCTGGCTCTCTAGTGATCTGCAGTGCTCAATGACCCCTCATTAGGTTTACATTCCGCTCAATCGTGACGCATTAGTTTTTGATGACTTTTTCCATATAAAATTATACAATTATACAATTATACATCGCATTTACTTAAAGGGTTTCCCACTCTCCTCCAAGGTTAAGGCTATGAGCCTTTATTAAGATCACAGTATCACATAGTGAAAGTCGCTTTAAACGAGCATTGTACGAACTTTTTTCCCCAAATGTCAAAAGCCACAAACAAAACAAATGAATATTGCTTATTGTTTGGTATTAACGAACATGGTACTCATCTTAAATGAACAGTTGACGAACCGGAAATCATAATTCCCCCGCAGCTTTCAAATTGATTTTTTGTTCTCAAATCACAGCAAATTAATGCTCTGGTCTTCGGCTACGTAAACACTGAGCCGCATCGCCCGCAGCCAAACTCATCAACGCTCAGATTTCATCGATCACAACATGAATTCGCAATTAACCATTGCATTTCCGCAAAGCTGCCCCACGGTGAGGCAACAAGAGGTAATTTACCGTGTAAATACCTCGCAGTCACGCCGGGAAAACGCGAGGACAGACGGCGGCCGGACGAGTCTCCTTGCATGGTGCATAGCTGGTACAAGTCGATGAAGCCATTGCGAGGTGCGGTCATTGAACCCCTACAACGCCGAAATGCTTTTCTTTTTTCTGTTTTGGTCAGAGATTGCGTCAAAATTAATCTGCTCGAACGTACGTTCACGGTTCTTAGTTATCTTCCGCCTGAAGCGAATTCATGCATTTAGTAGCGCGAGCTGGTCGCTAGATAGTGCGCCCTCAATCATGTACTACGTTTAATACAGATTATGGTATAGACCTTTATCATGCTGCCACCATTTTAGTCATGTTCCCAGTACCCAATAGTAGTAGTACTGAATGATAATTTGTTTTGTGCAAAAAGGAACCAGACTATTTTTCCTTCCAGCCTCGCTTTAGTAACGTTGAATTGAAGGGGAAAATCAAGATGGCCGCAACATGACAATGGTCTATCCGCCCTGCCCACCCAGCGCCCTGTTTGCAGTGCGGGGGACGAGCGAACGTGTAATACAGATTATGGTATTGTCCCCTGAGGGCGCACTTTCGTTTTGCGGTAGATTGGTTCCCGATCCACAGACTTGGACTGTCCGAAACGGGCTTCCAGGGCTACGGCTACGTCTATTGTCAGCGCGTCCCTGCGTATTTTCAACGGGTGCAGACCTATAGACCCAGCTCTAGACTGTTGATTCAGATGCAGCCTTTATACATCCCTTCATTTTTCGTCTGACTTCCCCAACACAATAATAGAAGGATATACATGTACAATATTTCTTTTACGGCAATTGTCCATATTAAACATTGTTTCGATAAATATTTTTGTCAGTTGCACATTTTGTTTTAAATTACTGTTAAAATCGTGTTTTGTTGTTTTCATTAAATACTGAAAAATGAGTATAAGCCTATACATGTTAAATATACTAAAACACCAGCGCTCAAGTATGCGGAGCCAAGTCTTTGCTCGTACCCACCGCCCTGCAAACAGGGCGCTGGGAAGGGCTGATGAGCTTCACAGAATCTTGTGAAGGAAGTGGGGATGGCATTCTGGGTAACTTATCATGACCTATGTATAAAGACATATGGCTGCAGCTGTTTAAGACTGCGGTTAGCGAATGCGCGCAAATGCTATCCGAAAACTTTCTCGTAGAAATGCATACATTCCACACCTGATGTGATTTCTTTTTCATTGTGGACCATGTGGACAAATTTGAGCGTCGCATAATATGCAATTTGACCCGTCGTGAATTCGGAACGGAGCCTGAGCAAGTGACGGGAATTGAAAATTTACAAAGCCGATATGTTTTACAGATTTTCCTACATTATTACACTTTTGAACGAAAATGATTTTGAACATAAATAATGATGTATGAATGGAATAAAAGAATAGTGACTCGGTCTTAACGGCCGTTTAAAACCTTGCAGGGTCGTGGCCGTGATGACTTACAGGTCACGGGTCACGCCAAATCTATCCAATCAGAGCTTATGTTCATCAGCCCTTCCCAGCGTCCTGTTTGCAGGGCGGGGGTACGAGCGAAAGCTAAGTCAAGTTTTGCGATTTCTTGGTGTAGATAAAATATAGAATTATGCAGAGTGACGTCATCACCATGGTGCCACTGAACATGAAAAAGGCTGCTTTGAAGTTACAACCTCCCTCAAACAGAAGGCCTGCAGAAAATGAAACGAAAAAGTTATAAGAACTTTTAAATATCATAGACCTAAAATAATAAGAATGTCTGAGGCCGATGAAAGCTCAGCTCTATTGCCAATTTGCTGATTACCATGAATTAAATTGGCACAAAGCGCCCTCTCTCGACAAAAAATATGATTATGTGACCTTATTTGGCTGCTTACATTCACTTATAAAAAACGTACCATCAAATTAAAGTTTGACTTATCCTCCCCCCCCCCCCCCAATAAAAAATAAAACAACAGCAACAACCGGGGGAAAATCAACAAAGACAACTTGACAAAACTGAAACACTAACTTAGAAACCCCAAATAGTAAGAGGGCGCTCAAACATTTTACTGCACGGTCAATTTCTGGGCCATGGACTGTAGCTATTCATGATGTATATAAAAAAATATTATTAATGTCACAAAACATATGACTCTTGGAGTAGGGACAGGCCATAAAGCACAAAGGAAATGGCATGTAGGCCTAGGCCTACCGAGCAGGTTAACCAACCTGTTACGAGCCCAGCAACTGGGTAGGACAGACCCGAGATGAAATTCTGCCAGCTGTAGAGGAAGACGACGTGGTCATCTGTAGTCAGGTACCGGGTCATAATCAGGGGGACTAGGAACAGACTCTCCACGCTGGCGCCAATCACCGCCGTGACGGCGATCTGGCCCACGAAGGAGGAGATTAGAGGATCCAGAGCGTAGCAGACGATAGCTAGACTTGTCCCAATCCCCATCACGATCCAGACGGAGAGGACTCGGTAGTGCATGACCACGGCCGTCAGTGACAACCCGAGGAAATTCCCCACGCCCCAGGCCGTGGTAGTAAAGGAGGCCTGGTACTCGTCTAACCCCAACGACAGCGCGTTGGGAACCATGTAGATGACGATCCCAGCGAAGCCGAACTCACTGAACAGCTTGATGGCGGTCAAGAACAAGAATCTGACGTCCTTGAAGACATCTAGACCCATGGCCGAGATGAACTGACTGCAGCAGACAGCACCGTCCTCACTACCATCCAAGCACCCTCTGTCGAAGTCGTCAACGCCGGAGGACGGGACGCCAGACGTGACCTTCTGATAGCGGAATCCTCCACCGCCACATCGCACCACTGGCCGGCCTACCAGAAAGCCACAGGCGGTCAGATGGAAATTGAAGGCCCCTAGGATCATCGTAGCACCTCGCCAACCGTACCAGTCCATGAGGAGCTGAGTTACCGGTCCGTAGACCATCATGCCGACGGGCGCTCCGGACTTGGCGACGAAGCTTGCCAGGGCGTATCGCTCATGGAAGTACAGAGCCATCTGAGAGAAGGTAGTCTCCTTGACGCATGCGGCCCCGGCGCCTGTTGGCAGGAAAACAAGTCAAAGGGTGGTTTCAAAACTTGTATAGTCGACATTCCTGATTATCGATGATAACTTTAACGGCCACGGGCCATGTAGTTCTGCATGATTTACCGATACAGCCGTAGGAGCAGATGCTGCATTGTCTCCTTTAATTGGTGGTGACCCCATCCCCAACACCGACGCCGCGCACCTGACACGACCCACCGACAAACTTGCACATATGTGTTTTACTATACTCATGATGACATGATCCTTTCCTTCTTTTGTTCCCTTTTGTTTGTACATGCACTTTTTCTCGACAGCTCCCGAAATGTTTGTACACGAAATCTCCCGAGGAGGGCCGCGCCTGGGCCTAGGTCCTCGGTCCCATTGAAATCGCACACGCCCCATTGTCCCAACTCCCCAGTCTGAATTGATAACCAACCCGCACAGCTTAAAACAAAGTTTCAGAACTTAGATGGCAGTTGCGCAGTCTGGGATGTTAGACGGCCACACCGACTATAAAGGCCATGCTGGCACTCTGATAAATCGAATATTTTTCTGGTTTGGTTAGGATATTTCAGTGGTTTAGCGTCGGTTGTCGAACCAAATTCTATGCGTTGCCAACTGTTATTGTCCCCCGTTCCCTATATGTACTACCCCCCCCCCCCCAGCCCGTTGTCGTACGCAGAGAGTGTAATTTCTAGATGGGGGTATCACTATCGATACATGCGGACTGTCTGTGACCTCGGCCAAGCCTAGGATGGGACGGGGGGGGGGGGGCAGTAACCGACAGGTGGATTTATACCTGCAATAACCGCCATGGCCACCGTCAATTGGAGCAGACCTCCACTGAAGGACGCAAGCACAAAGCCTGCCCAGCTGAGCAATCCACCCACGACCACCACCGGCCGCACGCCTACACGGTCCGAAATGGCGACTGGAACAGGAGCTGCAGCGGGACAGATGTAGAAATAACAAGACCCGGGTTAGCCCATTCATTGGCATTACGGGTGATTCTATTAGATAGCACTGCCCAGGGGAGACGGGCAGTCAGTCAGTCAGTCAGTCGGTGAGATCGAAGCAAAGAGGGTTGGTACCTATACCCTGTATAGACCTTTCTGCGCTTGGTTGGCAAACTGCATTTTTGCCAACCACGGCCTGCAAAACTATGGAAGGTCCAACACTGCAAAAATGAAGAAGAGTTATTACAGATCACCAAAATATTATTTGATACTTGAAAATACAACATTTTCAACAAAACTACAAAACAATTCCCACATATGCCTTTTTACTATGTGTTGATGGCGTTATGAGGACTTTTTTGGAAAAATATGTTGCCAACCTTGGCTTCAATTTATGCGCTTACGGCAGCCCATACAAAATGGCGCCAATGTTTACAAACAAAAGAAAGGCCTATAAAAAACAAAGATCGATTTGTTCGTTTAAATTTGGCGATTTTTTTTTTTTGGGGGGGGGGGGCATTACCTAATAGACAAAGTGTTCGTGAGGTTTAAAATTGTTTTCGAAGAAAAAGACCATTTAAATATGTTTGTTAAATGAAACGGTTTCAGGAGTGGATGTTTAAACATGATGAGATTACTGCACTCTGTCGTTGAGCCAAAGTTGTATATAAAGAAAAAAGAATCGTACTGCGGAGACGTTTCTATAGTAAAAATAGAAATTCGGGAACAACAAACAATCTGGCAAAAGAGATAGCCGTGCAGGATGTAGCAAAGGAGCAAGGGTTCAAACTCCTCGCATACCCACAAATGGGAATTAAAAAAAAAGGAAATAAACAAGAAAGGGGGGGGGGGGACACGGGGGAAAAAGAGACTTTTAGCTTCTTTAAAGTAATACATGTTGTATAGGGCCTACAACATTTACTTTTTTTGCTGTAATTTTCAGAAATGGATGGATGTGGGAGCTAGTCTTTTATAGCAAGTATACATGTATTGTTACACTGACCTTGTGTGTTCATAAAAATGCTGGAAAAACCAAGAACAACATGCTGTTCTTGTAGTTTGGTTTCCTGAACCTATTTCAAACGAAAACAAGTTATAGACGTCGGGGAATTGTCAGGTCGGGGAACCAGATTAGCTGGCTTGAACCAGTCCACGGATGTGTCACTGATAGCAAACAAAATGCGGACAACTAAATTTGGTAAATTGGGGACAGGATTTGAAAAAGGGTCACTTTTTCTTCCAACGACTGTCGACCGACCACCGTTGGAAATTGATACAAAACTCCATTTTGATACAAAATGACAGCACACCAGGTGTCCTAATTTCACAGGATGCTTGAAAGTATTATCCACGTACAGTCCTTTTTGTTAATTTTTGTTTCCGTATCTTTTGTAACAGTCATCGCATTCATTGATCCGTATATTTATCGCTTTCGGTATTGTAATGCGAAATGAGGTCAATGCAGAAAATTCGGGAACGGCTTTCAAGAACGAAAAACTAAAAAGAAGTATTGCGGTGTGGGTACGTGGCCCCAGGCTCAAATTCCTGACGCTACTGATAGATTATTGTTTTTCTGACAGAGCCTGTATCTACTCAACAGAGACTGTATTGTTACTAATAATAACATTCATTCAGCAACCAAGGACACTTCTGACAGTAGGAAAAACGATAACGATAAAAAAGAAGAATATGTTATTAAGTTTAAAGTAAGGATTTAAAGGGAATTTACATTTGCTTTTGCTGCAATTTTCAGTAGTAAATGGAATTGGGGGATTAGAATGTTAGAGCAAATATTGTTAAACTGACTTGTTTCACGTTGTAGGCTTGAAGATGCTGGAAAAAATCATGTTCTTGTAGTCTGGTTCCCTGACCCCACTTAAGATGAAACGGAGCAGTTTGTTGACTTTCGAATTGAAACTTGAAGAAAAATAATGAAACGGGGAACGCATCTTTGAGGCACTCAGTTGCAATTCTGATTGCATGTTACGTCATGTTGCTTAATAGGAAATCTAACGTGGGCTTTGACTTTCAATTTTGACATTTTAGCACTTGTGGTAAAAACAATATGTACATAATAAAGAATGGTAATTTAAGTGCTGATACGTGTAGTTTGAAGCATATTCCAAAGAGTACAATAGATATGATAAATGCGCGATATGTTGAAATACCTTTATTGTTATTCACATCAGTGATACAATAAGAACACATTAAGAAATTACATTTATTTATAAATAAAAACATCTACATTTTGTTCATTATCACACAGAAAACGTCAGACATGGACAAATTCAGCACACATACATGTACATACACCAATGTAGCAGTGGTAAAAAGGAAGAAGGGGGGACCTAGGACTCAGGCGTAGGAACAGGGGGGAAACCCTGAAAGGGCCTGGCAAGGTAAAAAGGGAAAATTCCACCATCTGGAGGGGGACAAACCTATAAAGATGGCAATGTGGGTGGAACATGTATTAAAAGGGAGAAATTTAACATGCACAGAATACTTGCAATTAACACATAAAACCCTACCATCAGGAGAGAAAAAAAGGAGAAAAAAATTGCACATTCAAAGGCCTTATTTGATGCTCAAGTTCCAGTCAAAGTGTCAAACTAGGGAACTTGTACAAAGGAAATGAATTTTGCACAGATCTTACACTCGCAAAGGATGGCTACTAGGGCTATTATAATGGAGCGCCTAAAGGAGAGTGAAAATGGCCAATCACACTCAAAATCCCTATGTTCCAAAAAAACCCAATAACTGCATGTATAAGTAAAAGTTAAAAAAAAAACGAAAATCTGTCACAAATCATATCCACAAATAAAAAAATGGACATGGACTGGAATTAACACTTAAAAACCCTAACATCGGTGGAAAAGAGTTTCCTAAAAACAGTTAGCCCGATGGGCAATAAATAAAAAAATAAAAAAATTATACCCCGTATACACTTGGGTATAAATTATCTTTGTGTTAAATGAGCAATGAATAATACCTGTATCTTGGAATTCAAATGCGTGGCTCTAAATACGGAAGAAGTCGAGGATTTGAGACACGTTTATGGGGATAAAGTATGTTTAAAAAGGGCGACTATGAGGACAAAGAAGCGTAGTCATGCCTTGATTAGAGATCTGTTTCACTATTGAAATAATTAATACTTACACAGCGCAAACTGCATCCCGTAATACATTGCATCGATCAGTCCGACGGTCCACAGACGCGTTTCAAAGTCCTTACTTTTGTTAGTGAGGAGGACGCCCCCGGCCTTCAAGTTGCCGTAAAGGATGAACTGGGTCAGAAAGGCGGCAAACACGACCGCCCAGCCCACGCCCCCTTCCCTGTGGCTCCCTTTCCTCGATTCTTGCATCCTTGTCAGCGATCGAGGCAGTGCGGGGTTGAAATGAAATGAAGCAACTGCAAGTTTTGTGGGTCGTCGACCCCGCGTTGTAGTGTTCACTTATTCGACCAGTGTGGTTTCACGAAAGTTACGAACTGTACGAACTGGACGTGTTGCTGTCAAAACAGCCTGTGTTTTTTTAACACATCGAATCTGATCTTTGAATCACTGAATACGCTGATTCCACCAGTAGCGCGTGATACCAGCGTAAAGGTCCATAATTCGTTTAACTCACAGAAAGGGTTGCCCGTATACCGTCGGCGTTGATAGTCAAACTAAAATTTTCATTGTGTTGGAGCCCGTCATTCAGTTTTCTCAGCTCCCATCGATAATCGGAATGCCTCGTGTTGTATAGGCATTCCTAGGCATAGCAAGGTCATTTATATAGGGCGGGGATGCTTGAAAAGTGCACTTGCACATCCGTGCTAAAATGTCACATAGACACGTTGTTTTTCTCTGGACACTATGCCTCCGTAACATCAACTGGGGGAGGGGGCTGGTACCATCTGTCGATTGGGGCGCAACCGACGATTGTGCACACACTTACGAACAATATATGGTGCTTTTATTAAAGGCGAACCATGCACGCAGCCGTAGGGCACAAAAAGGGCACGATTTTTTTTTAGGGGGGGGGAGGTCATACTTTTTCAGAAAAAAAAGGCACTTGTTAACAAAGGAGGGTCTTTAAAAAAATATTTGGGGTAAGCGCTGGTGAAAAGAAGGATGGAAACGGGCATACCCCTTTGCTGGTTGTGTTGAATTTGTTTCAGCATTAGGGGACATTGAACAATAGAAGACAATAGGGTACAATAGGGGGTGGGGTGGGGGAGGGTGGGGGGGGGGGTTGACCCTCCACCCCCTTTTCTGAATTCACGCTTGGGGTATATCCCCCCCCCCCAGACACACACACACACACCGGCACTTTTTGACCGTGGGATGGGCCATTAGATGGGGTATCCCCAGAACTTTTGGTGAACGTTAAAAACAAAAATATATAGCTAATTAAAAAAATTAAAAATCGAATATGAACTTGTTAAAATATCCAAATGAATGAGACAAAACGCTCATAAAACAGCTGTAAACTAAACGTGTCTCAGATCTGCCTTTATGCGGCTCTATGAACAGCGCCACCTAGTGTCGAATGGTGTCCCGCATGGACACCAGTTTCGGTGATTGCAGGACAACGTGCCCTTTTAATTACTACGAATACGAAGACACACATGTTGCATTAAAGGCCAAGACTGATATAAGTTTTTGCAGTAAAATAGAAATGACGTTTATTTCTCAAATAAGAAGTGGCAGACAGACCTTTGTAATAAAAAAAAAAAATTAACCACGGCACGAGACTGATCACTACACTGTTATCTAGTTACACAAGTTGAAACCCGAACGTGATCAGTGTCGTAGGCAATTATTTGTTTAATTCCAAAAGGTCTATCTGCCACTGCTTATTTGAAACACAAACTTCAGTTTCACTGCACACAATTACAGAATTGTTTTGGGGATCGACTGAAGCTCTCTGATAAGGGCTTTTATTATGGGCTACTTTGCGCACGAGTACACTGGTTCCCGGTCTCTGCATTATCAAGTCTGATTGTGGGGCGGGAACCAGTCGAAATTTGTAAATTAATTAATCATCCCATAGGCCTAACTAAATTTGGACCGCTTTTTTCGGTTCGAGCCTTTCGCCCAAAACAGCTGAATTTCATTTGTAAAGATAAATTAAAAACTGAAATCTATTTGATTTCGTTGAGAATCCTCGAAATAACTTCTGACAAAACATCCTTAAATGTGAATTTCATATGGAAACAGGCATCAAATGCTCCTTTAATCAAGGGCGGATCCAGGGGGGGGGGGGCCAACGAGGGCCATGCCCCCCCAAAAAAAAAAAACCAATTTTTTTTTTTAAGTGACGTTGCAATAAAGGCATGCAGTGCGTACACCACCATCTTTTCCTCAAAATAATTTAGTTTAAGTGGTCAAAAATTTCCTCAGATCGCACCACAGAGCATCTAGAATCCAAAAATGTTCGAATCCGAACCCCTCGCCATAATTGTTGGGCCCCTATTTGGGGGGACCATTTTTTTTGCTCCCCCCCCCCGAAAAAAAATTAAAATAGTGTGCTGGATCCGCCCTTGTCTTTAATGGGAAACATTGGATGATGTTTTAATTTATTTTTGTTTGTTTGGGGGGAAGAGTCTTATTTCTGACACCATGATTGTTTATGGCATGTTGTTCTACAAAACTGGAGTCAAATTCCAGTGCATGCGGTCCCGGAAACAACGTACATCTGGCCTATAGTCGGGTCCATTATCAGATCAAGTTTAATAGAGCGTATTATGAAATGTGACTGCGCCAAATGAACTTGGACACGTGAATGACAAACTTGCTGATGCTTAAAACTATATATCTGATATTATATGCATGATACCTGTCACGTCTATTTCTATTTGTAATTTAACACTCTGTATATTTTGTCGGCATGTGGCAATTTCCGTTGTACGTTCACGCATGAAGGTTCATTCTCCTATTTCTACTCGTATTTCTGTTTGTGCTTTATTCCAAATATTTGTTAGAGAAAATGAAACTCTGCACCCCTCTTGTTTAATCGAATGAAAGCTGAAACGTAAACTACTTCTGTGTCCGTTTAGATTTCTTTCAAGTTCTTCGTGCCTAAACGGAGGCTCTGTTGGCGTTTCGGGTTGATTGCTGCTCTGTGGTTTGGTCGCGGCCCGTTGGCGTGAATGGGGTGATCATTCAACCTCGTCCCCAGTGCTTACTTTATTTCCAATCGTGTTTCCAACGGTAAGCCCTGGATGGGCAACTTTCTTCCTGTATCCTGATTCGATATCGCAATTGGCTAGTAATGGATTTTTATCGTGTACTTGGTGTTGTTATTCACAACATGCAGTACGTGTTTTCGCGATCATTCGTCCACGGCAACTATTCCTTTCCTTTCCAATTGGTTCATATTAATATGAAATGTGATAATGCATGTTGTCTCGATAAGATCGTAACAGTTTAATTAAATAAATCGTGTTTTCGTAACTCACGCTGTGCTCGCGCTGCCGAAGAATTGACTCTGTTTTTATCCCAGACACCGCATACAAAAACGAACAATAATGTAACGCACATGCAGGCACCAAACTTTTCCTCATTTGCATACGTGTTCAAAAATCTTGAACATGTAAATGATCCAATACCAGGGTGACAGAGCAGGTAGTGATGGGCGCGTACTGCTCGACACCCTGGGGTCGAAGTTGGTGATCATTATGGGTGACTGCTCTATGTTCCGACACCCCCATGTTCCGACAACCCTCACATAAGATTGTGTTACTCCCGGTTGCGAACCTTTTTTTTCCCCCAAAACGACATCTGTTTCCCATCTCCTGATTGATCTATTACATGCATCATCTAATGCCTTGTTCTCCACATTACAAACCCAAGATAGGTTTTACGTCTTGTTCCTAAACATTACTACCTCTCTATCCATAGGACATTTTTTTTTTCAATTTTACCGGAGATAGCCGTATTATTTTTATTTTATTTCCCCCTCCCTTGAAACCACCCCTAAAACGGTTGCCCATCTCTGGGCCTGCGTCTAAATGTAGCCTCCCCCCCCCCCCCGCCTCTATGCGAAATAGGCCCCCAAGTTGGGATTTTGTGAACGAAGTCCCCCGAGTCGGAAGCCACAAGTTACAAAAAGCTGTATCTCCCTGAAATATTTCTAAATAGTGTTAATTCCAAGTATAGGCCGCAAGGACATCTTATTCAAAATTACCGTGTGGGTTCGCACAATTTTAAACAGTATTAATTCCAAGTATAGGCCGCAAGGACATCGTATTCAAAATTACCGTGTGGGTTCGCACAATTTTAAATTGAGCTCGCGCATAAATTTACAGCTTTTTAGTGGTTTGCAACCTCAAGACGTCAGAGCAAGCAAGTAAAACGGTCAGAGCCAGTCGTACGAGGGCGCGCACTACTACGAAAGTTGTAGTCCATTTTGGTCACTGACTTCTTGGACCAAAACTAGTACAGGTCTATCTGCAATAACGTTTCTTTTGAAGTGAGTTCTGTGGCTGTGGGCTATTCCGTGGGGCTGGACAACCCGTGACAAATTCATAACTGTTACAGACAGGAAGCGGCTCCCTAAACTACAAAAAAAAAAAAGACTTAAAAGGAGGGGGGCAGTTATAGGCATATATATTTATATAAATAAAGTTCATGCACAGTTTTCCTCCTCTCCTATTCGTTGGGCCAGCTTCGTGAGCTTACATCGTGCCATTGTGTCTATCATGCTCAAGCTTGAGATCCGTGAGGAGATGAGACATGAATGGCATCGCCTACGGGCTGTTCTGACAATGCTTCCGCTTCCTGGCGAGTGCGGATGAAGCGCCGTTGATTGTGGAATTGATCCGGTGGCTGATGTTGAAAAAATAGAGGAGGCAAAAGAAGACGAAGAAGAAGACACATTTGGCCTCCGGGGAGAGAGAGAGATGCTGAGTTGATTTCTAGGGCAACGGCCGATCTCAGGCAGGGTTGAAATATCGAAGGTAATCGTCTTATGGATCTGGTAGATTGCGTGAGATGTCCTAGATGGATTTGAATTTTGGGGTCGACGGTTGTCAAGTCACTGCTCTTCTGTGGTGCGTCAGCATATAATATTATTGTGGTTTAAATATTGAGGTTTACCCTCGTAATTTGTGTTATGTTTTTGGTCCTCACTCTTGCTGGCTAATTAAAGTCGCGATGTTGCGATGCTGCTATTTAGTGACTGCAGACGGTTGTTTTGCTGCAAGTGATCGTTGCAGGAAGCGCTGATGAAGTCTGTTTTTGATAATGCAATGAGATTTCCTCCTGCCATTGTACAAGCATACCTTCCCATCCTGATTTTCCATATGCGCGCAGTTTCATCATTTCTATCTCAATTTGTTCATACCTTTTTGGTTATAATTATTATTCCTCTCCCTCTGTCTATTTATTTGTGGTCCCTCGTTTGTTTATCTGGTTCGTTTTGTCTTCTTTTGGAAGTTGTTTTTGATTGTCTTCTTTACTTCCTCTTTCTGCGTTATTGTTTATGTCTGCGTTTATTGTGTTTATGTATACCAGGCTGTTCTAATTCTCTACAAGCTTAGGCTTACCCGAACAGCCCCGTACTCGCTTTTCGGCTTATACAATTTACCGTCCATTACTGCATATCACATTATTGCATATCCATTATTTTGTACTTGGTATACGTTTGTTTATTTTTCTAATATTATTTTACATTTCATGTACAGTATTTCATTCCTGTTTCCTAATATTGTTTATGCTGATGTATTTTTTAATGGCAGTATGGACGTAAATGTGATATTGAAATGAATTAAAGAGTGAATTCCCCGCACTCTATAGAAACATCACCGTTTGCAGCAAGACGCAACAGAGCCGTAAATGCAGCCATTCACACGAAAACTTAAACAACCAAACCAAGACGATGCCAACTTTTTTTCAATCTTTTTTTTAATTATTATTTATTGATTGGTGCAGCCTGGTTTGTGCTTGGCATCAAACAAGGCCAGTCCACCTCCGCATTTATACAAGACCAGTACCATTTATATATACATTTAATAATAGAATACAATCAAAAATTAAAAGTAATTTTCATCAATAAAAACGTGCGGCACTGAGCATTTACTGTCACTGCGTCCTTTTCCAGCTGCCCAAGCAAACTACTCAACTGGTCCAATATATATACTATTGGACCGGTCCAATATATATTATTGGACCGGTCCAACATATATACTATTGAACCGGTCCAATATATACTATTGAACCGGTCCAATATTGAACCGGTCAAATAACTACTATTGGCCCGTCCAATATATATACTATTGGACCGGTCCAATATATATATACTATTGAACCGGTCCAATATATATACTTATGGACCAGTCCAATGTATATTTTATACTGACTGCTGATTTGCATTAAAAGGCTGCAATGGGGCACAAAACACCGATGCATGCCATACAGACGTGAACGACTTTGATAGCTTCCGGTATATATCGTCCACGATTACATAATGGAATAATGACATTTGGGTAAAGCAGTTTTTTTTTAATTTTTAAATACACAGCGCCAGCGATACAAGGATGAAGTTCAGTAATATACAATCGGCATTATTACAAAAGAAAATGATACCCAAAGAATAAATAAGTTCCGTATCGAGCTACACATTTTAGTTGAAACTCTTCAAAAATACCGAACAATCCATTTTATCATACCCATATACTGCATCAGGATTATATTGTAGGCTGTAACGATTTCACAATGAACATTATACATTATGTTTGGTACTCTACTCAGTGTACAACCACTGCAGTAGATACGCTAAATACAAAATGGCAGACTTGAATTTACAGCGAACATAACTAGTAATTATTTAACTAAAGAGAGCCAGTTTAAAGACCGCAGAAACGAATAAACACAATTAAACACTGTAGATATTTATAAACTGGCAGTGCTGGTACAATTTTTCACAGCTATTTAAGCACTTCGGTTTAAAAGGCGAAAGCGCAAGAAAACTGAAAATATCATAAACATCAAGCTCCCTGTAAAGAACCTTGAACATTTCTCCCAAATGTAGAAAGAGTTTTTCTTCGACTAAACAGTTTGTATTCTTGAGAATCTTAACCCCGGGCATACCCGCTCTTTTATTCTACACGGTTTGGCAATATTGGATCAAAAGGATGGGCACCCAAAGTGTTGAGGGTCACTTTAAGTTCAGAAAATTATAATGTTGCTCTAACCAGTTCCAAAATTTCAAAACAAAAATTACAACTAAGCAAGTCATATCAATAAAAAAAACATCTTTGTTATGTACCCAACCCTGTTCATAGTGGTGCTTCTTGTGAAAAATAAACAAGAATTGTTTGTAGATAAAGTCAGTTAATATTTACATGAAAACTAATTCGAAAAATATTCCATCCAACAACTGTCCGGCCACTAAAAAACAAGACTCCGTTTTGGAGACCTGTCTAACATACCAGATCGCGTACAAAGGAGTCTGAATACCAGATAATGAAGACAACGCGTTTCAGTTGTTGTAACATTAAAAAAAAATATGCAGCAGCATTTGTTGTCTTTTAGAACAATTACATTTATGGCCATTTATCAATGGTCATTTATACACTGCGGGTTACAGTGTAAAGAAGCGATATTTCTAAGGACTGAAAAAATAACGTCAAGTGACCTACAACAAGAGCCAATGAAACAGTCGCTTCTATCTCGCATCGGCCAATGACGGGCTGGCTTATGTTTCCCAGCACGCCGGTTCTTATTGCTTTAATTTTAACACTTACAAAAATAACACATTAATTTTGACATAACGCAGAGCTCCCAACAACCGCGTGACAACGTCATGCTGAGAATATTATTGGAGATGGTATGAAACACGTCTCCGCTACGTATATGTACGCGTAATAATTAATATGCAAACTGTCCGAGAATTAATTTGTACAAAAGAAAATACAACAGAGACACAATAAGTATGCTATTATTTCAGCAATAAAAGAACACATACTGTACAAATTGTTTTAAACTGTTACAGAGAAACTACCGTCTTTGAAAAGTATCTGAAAACTAAATCGCCCAAGATAAATACGACAGAGTGGCTTTACATTTGCACCCAACAACGTTATTTTTTTTGCCCTTGCACGAATATAAAAAACATGAAATTTCAATATCCGTATTGCCGTTCAGTAGATCCGACGATGTTATCCGCACGACCGCTAGGGGAAAGAAAATCACTTTGTGATGATTTTTTTGTTTCTCCAGCAAAAGCTACAGAAATTCAAGCCGTTATGTGTGAGGGTTTCCCCTTCAGTGTTTTTTTTTTCGAGGACTAGCCAGGAAATCAGCTTCTTTTTTTAATTCGTGGAAAGCCACATTTCAAAACATTACTACAATCCTTGCTCAAACTTTTTTACAGCTGCCTTTTACTTAGGATTTTTTCCCCTGACTTCTCGGGCCCAATAATAATCAACACGAAGCGCTCACAACAATGATTTTTTTTTAAAGGATGTTTTTTTTTTCTCATGGCCGAGGGCGAGTTTGTCTGAAACGATGACAAATCAACACGGCTTAAAAATACCCTTCAGGGGGGCCAGCCACGCATGGTGCCAATGAAAAGAAAAGATAAAATTCCCAGAGGCTAGGGGGAACCCTTTACTGATGCTTCGCTTCGCTCTGTCAACATGGATTAATTTCTCTGCTGGGGAGAGACGAGGGGGATGATTTTGCCCCGGCCAGCTTAGGCAGATGAGCGTTCATTAGTCCAGGTTTTCAGAGGAAGGGGGGTATGTCAGGGAGTGTCTTTGACTTCTCGACCACGCGTGGGTCTCGAAGACTGTGATGATGGAGGAGTAGGCGGTGGAGGGGAAAGGGGTGGGAAGAAGACATAGCCAAAGGGAAGGGAAGAATATAACAAAGATAATTTGATGGGAGGTGTCATACTTCAATGAGTTGTGTGTAATAACCTCTGATGTTAATGTACATGTTAATGAACCCTTAAGGAGACATGTCTTCGTCGTAAGTTATACCTAGATGCAAAGTGTTGACTTGACTTGACTGACTTACCAAAAGTAAGTCACCAAAAATTATTTCTGTCACCAAAAGTGATAGTCTGTCACCAAAGTGGCATCTGTCACCAAAGTGACATCTGTCACCAAAGTGACATCCGTTACCAAAAGTGACATCAGTTACCAAAGTAAACCATGTAACAGTGAGATGTGTTACAACGCAAGCTGGGTACCTTCGGATGTACACAGTCACCAAAGGGTCTACAAGTGTTACACAAAGTTTGTCACACATGCCACTTGCAGAGAATTCCTCCATCAGGATTTACCCCTGCCAACTGATCAGAAACTTAACCCCAAAAAACTTACAAAAGTAAGAAACTTTGTCCAGTCGTTGGCATGGTTAGGCAAGAGGGCCCAAAGTCAGAAATCTCTCCCATGTCGGTGCGGTAATCCCTGTATCCAGACTGTTGATCGATTTTCATGATGAAATGTCACCGGGCAAGATCAATTCATGCCGAGACGAAGCCGTAGACGATATCCCGACGGAGTCAATCTGGGCAAACCCTCAGATAGGTCGACTCAAAATAAAAAAAAAACCATCTGCCAGTTATCGAGGCTGCCTGGGGGGAAGATCGAACCAACCACCGCTGCGCAAGTATTACTTTCCTTCTACTTTTTGTCCAAGAGAAAATCTTCTCCTTTCCCTTCTAGACTTGAATTTTTTTTTTTACAAGGATCTATCCTGACAAATGTAGCACATGGAGATAAGTTGTCCACACTCTATGGTTACAGTTTCCAAATCTGAGTGCAAACATGCCCGCCGGCCCAGCTTAACGTACAATCCCTCCATGAAACTGGCACATACAGCTTTGTTGCTGGGACTACTACAGCGCCCTCATGAGTTTACAACAACAGATACAACAATTACTCCCCAAAAAGGGGCCCCTCATTTTGATGATGTGCGCAACGCCCATTTAAAGGTAGACAAATGAAAGAGTGATAACATACAACAGATAAAATGAACTACTGGCACTTACGGGTATTTTAAATACAAATTATTTGTTCCTTCGGAACACGCTGTCGTCAAAGTCCACCCAAAAAAACTCTACCACCCTAAAATATAATGGATGCTGAAAATCACGATAGGAACAGCACTTATCAGGGACAAAAGGGGATGGGAAAACTTGATTATCAGAGTTGGAATGTAACAGTCATGTTTACCCAAGTAAATTGCGGGGAAGCAGAACAGGCAGCTAACAATACACTAGCTGCACTAATTGTTCTTGAGTCTGAGAATAATGGGAGCACGTTAAAGGGAAGACCGTGCTGTGACCACCGACAATTTGCACTAAATCCAATGCAAATTAAATGACACGTGATGGCTTCTTAACCGACAGTGTTTACTCTGACAAAACTGTGGAACGTTTAACTCCCACCGACTGTCAACCTTTAACCCAAACGTCATGACAGCAAAATTATGTTTACGAGAGTCCAGGTTCCATACGAAACCAAATTGGAAAATAGGTTGCTGTATTGGCAGTCTCCTGGGAACATCTATGTCAAACCCCTTTGAAGAAAAGTAGACTCAAGTCCGATCACTACAGCATAGAAAATAATATCTACAAAAATAGCTTACGTTATTCTGCTATAGCATTCAGTTATTAATAAATTTTTTTCAGTATAGAAATTATATACAAATTTATAAATCTCCGACGTTCTCCTGTTGGAAGACGGGTCTATTCAGGCCCGTCTAGGATCTCAGGCGACGACTGGTCGACGCACTCTTGGCAGGCGCAGCTCCGGACGATCTTGACCTCTTGTTTGACCTCCGTGCCGTCGTCGCACTGGAGGATGATGTCCCGAGTCCGGACCCGCTGCGGCCGGCAGCAGGAGATGCCGCACTCCCCGCTGCATACCTTGGTCCTGATGGAGGTAGCGCTGCGGCACGAACCGTTCTCGTTCTCCGGTACGAAGAGTCTGTCCTGCGCAGTGCAAGTCGTTTCTGAGACGAGGTAAGAATGAAAGTGGTGATTAGATGTGAAATGATTCAGAGTTGCAATCACGTCCTCACATGTCAATTACCGGTCAATGACAAGTCAACCTGTCTCCAGTCAAGCGAAAAGCTATTCAACAAACACGAGGGCACAATAAGCTCTGGCCTGGGCCCAACTTCATAGCGCTGCTTAACAGCCGACTTTGTGCTTACCGAGCCTCCATCTATTTCATAGGGACCGTTAAGCAGTATAAGCACAGCAAAAGCACGCTTAACCCCAGAAGAAAACTTTGCTTAAATCAGTGACGTAACAATAGAAATCTCCATGCGCCCGCAACCGTTAGCATGAAATGGTGCTTAAAGCAGCAGCATGATTCTCTGCTATAGTAAGCACAACTTTTCTGCTTACTGTTAAGCAGTGCTATGAAATTGGGCCCTGGTTCCAGAATGTCTCACTTCATATGCAAAATAGACTTTCGCCAAGACTGTACTTACTGACAACAGCATTGCATTTGGTAAATGTTTGGTCAATTGGTGTTATATATTTAATGAGAAACTTAAGGGGGCCTGTTTTTGGTCAATATTCTGGGGACAGACCTACCGATCCACCACAAAGTGCCATATAGAAGCTCCTGCCAGAGCTGGAAAACTAGTGGTAGACACATTCCTTTCTGATTGTTCATCCTCTGTTGCTCCTTAAATACTTAAACCTAATTAACTGATACTCTTAAATTTTGATTAGATGTTCACTAATAGACAATGTACCCAATACTACGTCTGTCACCCACATCAGGGACATAAAAATCATGAACTGGAAACTGAAGCCTATGACAAAGGTTTTGAAACTTCGCAGGGGCACTTACTTGTGTCGCACATCTGTCCCATCCAGCCGTCCTGGCAGTCGCATGTATACCGGGCGGAGTCCAGCTTGCGGCAGAAGCCCTGCTTGCATGGGTTGGTCTGGCAGGGGTCCGGCATGTCCAAGGCCGGGCAGCCTGAGGTCACGCCCGTAACGTCTACCTCATCGGTGGGCGTGACAGGCACACCGTTGATGAAGAAGCCTCGCATGCAGCCTGTCATGACAAGGATACAGTAAAAGAGTTTCTGTCAACAAGTTTCTACGAAATGGCTAACCCTGGTAAACTAGAGAGTGGTTTGACGTCTGCACTCATCCTATCCAAGGAAGTGATGGATTATTTTCTCACAAGCCCTAAAAACAACGCTGACCTCAATGTACCTCAGATAAATAATTTTGATTAAGGGCAAAACTAAATATTAAAAAATGGTAGAATTTAATATGGAACGGGATGGAGAAACCCTGCATACAACCTGTGATGACAGTGATGTAGAGAGACATTGAGAGTAATAGACAATTGAGTGAAGAAAACATTAGTAGGGATTGAGAGGGAGTGATTTCAAGTATCTGTGATAGCAACGGAATACTCTCAATGCATTGTGAGAGAGAGTTCCTTGGAGAGAGAGTTCTTTGTTAGTGTCGGTGGATATCTAAGACAATGGTCTATGGTTACCATGGAAGCTGGATCCATTCCGCAGATGCCAGTGCCGGAGAGCGTACTGGTTCCTTTTCGAAGGCGCCCCGCCAATATAGAGAGGAGCGTCCACCACGAGGTACTCGCTAGGCCCTTCATTGGTGGCGCTCTGCATCTCCTCATCGTCAATCTGGAAGGAGATGTTGCGGCCAGCTACTAGGACCTGGACCGTGTGGAACTCCTCGTCGGCGAGGTTCTGCTGGCCAAACATGGTGGTGGCTGGGAAGTTGCCGGCATCGTAGCTGACCCGGAGGTAGCCCCTGAACAGCTCAACGGCAAGGTGGTCCATTGTGCCCTGGGCGCCGCCATGGTAGAGCAGGATGCCGTTCTCCGCCGTCGTGGCGAAGGCGATGGTGAAGTTGATTTGATGGGACATGTCTGGTGCCGATTTGCTGAGCAGGGCGTTCTGCTGTGAGAAGGTCAGGCTGGTGGAGACCTCGCAGCGTTCGCCGACGTAGCCCGGCCGGCACTGGCAGCTGACCTCCCCGTTCACCTCCTGGCACAGCGCGTTGTTCTGGCAGTTGAGGAAGTCGCAGGGGCTAGTCTGCGGAAAGACCACGGGAGGGTTCTGACAGTTGATGCCCGAGAAGCCTGGCGGGCACTTGCAGACCCACTGCTCCAGCTCCTGGATGCACTGGCCGTCGTGCTGGCAAGCTTGGGAGCGGCAGTCCTGGTAAGTCTCGGTACAGTTCACGCCACGGAAGCCTGGCTGGCAGTCACACCTGCAAGAAGATAAGGGGTTTGAGGAAGTTAATGACAACAGAATGACGAAGGCATTGAATGAACATAACCGAATTAGCAACCTCCCCTTAAATTCTGGCAAACTCTGCAGAGCCCTTTGTCTATTGTCCTTCGTTAATTATAAATATACGAGCATACAAGTAGAACATAATTATATCCTCTCTTTACCTGTAGCTTCGGCCCTGGTCATAGCAAACTCCTTCATTCTGGCATGGGTTGGTTCCTGGGGCACAAAGGTCCTTGTCCACTTCACAGTACGTCCCTGGAAGATTATCAGTGTATAAAAAATTGTTTCAAAAGTGCTCCTTGGCAAGCATCACTTATTAAAACTTGTGGATCCCATCCAGACAGCCAAAGCACTTCACGTCATAAAGGCAATGTATCACAACTGTTATTTATGTTGTGAACATAAAATATTCTGACAGATAACAGAGCCGGCATGGGAACTGCTGCTACCTACCCGAGTATCCCATACTGCAGTAACACGTGTAGTTGTTGATGCCGTCTTGGCATATGGCGTCGTTCAGACACTGATGGTCCTTACAGTCATCGATGTTCTCACCGCACAGGTCACCCTCAAAACCGGCAAGGCAGTCACACCTGGTTCAAAATGGAAGCACATAAACTTGGAGCTGGAATCAGACCCATCACAGGTCCAGTCACAAGTCAAGTCATAAGTCAAGTCATAAGTCAATCACAAGTCAAGTCATAAGTCCAGTCATAAGTCAAATCACAAGTCAAATCACAAGTTAAGTCACAAGTCAAATCACAAAAACAGCAAAACTTGATAAAGGTGCACCTCTTTTCTTTTGTGATTGCTTACTAAGTTTGAATGATTATCTTCCTTCTTGTGATAGTTTTTTTTAAGGGGGCATGGCCTAGTGGTTAGCATTTGTGACTCGTGTCTGAAGGCTCAGGGATTCGAATCCAGCTGCTGGTCATGTGTTATGTCCTTGGGCAAGCCACTTCACCCCCACCTGCCTCTCTTCACCCAGGAGTATAAATGGGTACCGGCATTAGCTGGGGAGTAACCTGCGATGGACTAGCATCCCATCCAGGGGGAATAGAAATATTCTTAGTCGTTTCATGCTACTGAAACCAGAGATAAACACCGGCCTGATGACCACATGGGCTCGGAACAAACTGGACTTTTTTTACTTTCTGATCATTTTAAAAACTTGAATGTTTCCCGAAGGTTCTTAGCAATATGTCGTGGGAGTACACAGACCATTTCTCCCCCCTCCCCACCCTTCAAGGGAAACCTCTAAGCCTACCTGAATCCACCGTTGAGATTCCGGCACTGGGCACCGTTCAGGCACGGCATATCCTCGCAAGCGTCCAGCTGCACCTCACAGTTGCGACCTTTGAACCCATCAGGGCAGTCGCAGGTGTAGCGCTCCGTCAGGCTGACGCTGCAGACACCCGCGTTCTCGCACGGTTCCGACAGGCAGGGGTCGCACTTGGCTTGGATGTTCATATCTGGTTCCTCTGTGGGTACAAAGATGTGATTTCGGGGTGAAGGAACTTAAATTAAACTTTTACTGTTTTTCAAGTTTGTTTTACTGTTTGTTCTCCTCCTCCAATTCGCACAAATGCATACTATACCTAATGCACATATTAAACTTAAAGATTACACAACGAGAAGAGTCCGACTCTAAAAGAGAAAGTTTAGTTCCTAGAATAACCAGAGGTATTTATTTGATGTTTTAGTCAACACTTTCCGACTCTCACCAGTTGAATGAAATGGCAACTTCTTGAAAATACCTCACTTCTCCTTTAGAGTTGACTGCTTCACGGATGGATTCCAAAATTTCACTGAAATTGTACTCTCTAAATTGCAACGCCTCAATTCGCATTCATGATGAAAAAGTTCAAAGCTTTTCTGCAACTCGAATGTTCCCAATTTAAAATGTGAAACAGCAAATAAGTTTTCTTGTCTGAAGACCCAAAAGTTGCAAAGATTATATTCTAAGGTGTACCAACAATGAAAGCTTATTCCATGCTATTCAGTGTGGATTTCAACTAATGAAAGTACTTTCTGGGTTAACGGGATCCTATAAAGTCTTGCAGAACAACTGAAGAATTTTTGTGTAAGTGCCGTGAGCAAAGAACAGTGATCATTGGTGAGCAAACGTTAGCAGGGCCATGAAATTGAGCCCGATGTCGACAAAATCCTTACCTGTACAAACGAAGGATTTGGATGGAGCAGTCAGGATAAGCTTCCCACGTAGGTCGTAAGGGTCGGCACACTTAGCGATGCCGGGCTCCTTGAAGCCATCTGCCTTGACCCATTCCGACAGCCACTGCAGGTGACAGTCACAGTACAACGGGTTGTTGCCCAGGGCACTGCAGTGACAAACGACAAAAGCAAATGTTTGGATTCGAACCCCGGACCTCTGAATTACAGTACAATTGCTCTACCAACTTCATGAATATATTTGCAAGACACTGCATCATTCAATGGAGAACAAAATTGACAGACACTGGACTTGAACCCGGGACACATCCATTCAGAGGTTCCATGAAGCGGCTAAGTTATTTCAAGAAAACTTACATGTGGCTCAGAGAGTGGAGATCGCTGAAGACGCCGTTTGGAAGCGTGGAGAGGTCATTGCCCTGGAGTGACCTTTGAAAGGAAAAACAGAAATTGTTGTGGATACTAGCATGGGATGACAGCAAAGTTTTAATCAAGTCTTCATAAGTCAATCACATTTGTCATCTAGTCTCTAGTCAAGTAAATTCTGACAAAGGAAGTCAGTGTTGTTGCGGAGTCCATCGAAAACCTGATCACAAGCCTGGTCACAAATCCTATCCCAAATCCAGTCACAAGTAACAGTGGATGAACAATAACAAAGGAATAATTTTGTCAGAGTATATCTGAACAGTTTGTGACTTTATCTAAGCCTGAAGGACTTGTTCTGGACACGCAAGGACTTGTCCGGACTGACGCAACTGCAGCACTGATTGAAGTCCATCCCCCGTGACCAAACTTAATTGTGACCTAACTTGTGACTTGTTGGTGACATTTGACTGACTTGTTTTCAATTTCTTCAAGACAGCAAGCCACAAAGCTAGACTTTCAAGTAGTAAAACTTACAGCCTTTAGTTCAACTAGAACCAACTTGGGGGGATGGGGTCATAAGCCAGCCAGCCAGCCGGCAGCAAGTTTGCCTGCCAGTGAGACAAATCAGCCTCCCACCCAGCATTTTTTTTTTCCTGTGCAGTTCAACTAGGAACAATAGAGGGAGCCCTCTCTGCAGGCATGCATATTCATATATGTCCTAGGCTTTGGAGAATATTTGAATCACTGACGCAAGGCAGCAGATTTATGGCCTGGTTGAATGTAAACATGACTTTTAATCAGATGATCCGAGTTTGAATCGTGGTGATGCCTTTTTAGTTTATTCTTATTTTATCTTTCAAATCAAACGAGGAAGGAACTTTTTTTTTACAACTCAGAAATGTCAAACTTACAGGATTCGTAGCGACCGCAATCCAGTGAAAGTGCCCGGTGGAATGCAGGCAATGCGATTGTAACTCAGGATTCTGAAAGCAAGGATATCGAACATCAAAATTCATCAAATTTGTGACCATAAAACAAAAACAAAAAGTGATTCAAATACTAATATTCAAGTTTGTTGAGGTGATTTTTTAAAAGATCTTTAACTTAATTATACTCACAGTGTTGAGAGCTTAGTCATGTTGGCAAAGGCATTCTCGGGTAACATTGTGATCAAGTTTGTACTCAAATCTCTGCAGACAAAAACAAAAAATATAGTTTGACAACAAAGCTTTGACTGAGTTTTATTTCCACAAAGCAAATCAGTCTGAAAACCAGACAAAAAGAAATGTTAGTTAATATTATCATTATTGTAAGAGTACTTATAGAGAGATCACTCGTTGGAATGCACATCCTGGAGTTTACTCGAAGTGTTTTATACATTCAGATATTTCTCGATATCTGGAAAGACTTGGCCGAAGATTGTTGCCTACAGGAGAAATCTTTCAACAAGCAAAAGAGCTACATCAGCTGCTGAATTCTAGTTCTCTCTGAGACACATAATTTTCCTCCTAACCCTCCCCGTACTCTTCAAGAGATGCAAGGAGGATTTCTTACAGTGTGTGGAGGCTCTTCAGGTTTGTCATTCCTTCCGGGATGGTCACAAGCTGGTTGGAGTCCAAGTATCTGAAGCAAAAAAAAAAGAAAAAAAAGATATTGAGTTGGTCTAAGATCTCCAAATCTAGTGTCTTATTAAATTATCTCCGAAATAAATTTTATGATCAGTGATACTACCTTCCTAGCATGTAAGAAACATGTCACAAGCTGCGACATGAACCTAGGAAATCACAATTTCCAACGAGGAAATCCTCCCCCCCAAAAAAAAATTCTAATCAGTACATATTGTCCATTAAACAAGAGGGACTGATGACTTACATTTCAGTGGCTGTCAGTGGGATGTTTCGTGGGGGCATTGTGAGTTCCTTGCGGCTGCATCGGACCACTGAACCGCTGCAAGCACACTCCCTGGGGCAGGCAACTGATGGCAGGCAGCTATTCAGATCGTTTTCTGCAAGAACAAAATTCAAAACACGATGGGGTAAAAAAAAAAACCTGATTGAATATTAACCCTCACCCTGCTGAATCCATGCTGAATCCATGCTGAAAGAAGTTTCACCTACAAATTTCACAAAAACTTTGGTGTCCCCCACATTCAATTAATACGAATCGTGTGGTCATCTCCCAATCACGATGTTTATAAATTCTCTTTTTCTTTGTCCTTTTTATTTTTACTGGCCACACAGAATTGGCTCCTAGTTTGATCAATGCACTACAAACATAGGTTTAAATGAACCAACTAAAGTTTCTCTAACTTGCAACAAAGTGCTCCATGCATATTGGTCCAATGCTGCCTTTCTATAGCGGAATCTGGCAACCAGAATAGAAAGCTGTTACTGCGGTGGTGGCAAGCTCACGCGCATGCTGCACGCATTCTTAAAGACAAGGCGCGCGCACATTTTGGTGAGGAGCCCGGAGTGCGTGCAGGCTACCAGAGCGCAATTCGGGCGAGCCTGGTGCTACCTCAGAAAATGGCGTCGCTTGATTAGTCTATATGCATTTTAGTCCATTGTGTGTCCACTGCGTACTTTGGCATCAAGTTTAGAAAAGGCTATAAATTCGCAACTGATGAAAAATGATTGAAAACACACTTCTAGAAAGGCAGCTGAAAAAAAAATTATTAAATGATGCATGTAGAATTTAATTTTACTGCCGTCTGTCAAAAAAAACCAAAACTATGAAAAAAAAAAAATAGTCCATCTACGCAAACACAGATTTAATACGTGGAACTTGTGCACATTCAGTAAACTAACTGCACATGCTCTCTGTGGCCTCAAGCATGACGTATTTTTACCCTCATTCCGCTTTGGCAGTGTGACGTCATTTGGACCCAAAACTACACTGCAATCGAAGGCAGAGGGCGCATGCTGCACGCGTTGCCCACAGATTCCTAGATATTTAGAACCAGAGATCGAGAACTGTATTCTCCAACAATGACTGAAACGCGTCCAGCCTACATCCCTAAATCAAATCCCATCAAACTTCCCCAAAGTTTGTACTGGTCTTTGTACCTAGCTCACTGACCGACCGACTGACCAACTGACTGGCTGGCGGACTCCCCTACTGACCGACTGTCACTGGTGCGCCGACGGACTGTTTTCCACCATCGTTGACTAACGTCAGCAACAAAGGCAAACAGTATACCCGAGTCATTATCTACGTTTTCAAAATGTCCGACACACACAATGAATGTAATGATTCCGTCCGTGCTGAAATTTTCCATTTTTAATATCCCAAGTAAACCCATGTCACTGGGGGAAAAAACTTCCACTGACAATAAATTTTTAGAGGATTTTAAAAGCTGCTATCCAAACAGTGACACTTGTTGGATCGGCATACAGGACAGCGCCATTTTGGCATCAATTTTTCGATAACATTATCTTTTTCATTTGGGGTTTCCGCATCCAGTTTATGTTTCAGTATACTTGACGGCACTGGAAAAGAGCTCGACAACAACGCTAAGGATGTCGGGTCAACAAACCTTCGCAGGTGAAGTCCGTCTTTGCGAGGTCTTCCAGCGGAACGTCTCTCAGGTTGTCCGGTGACTGGCAGATGGGGTTGCCCGTGACGATGTTTCGAGAGTTCAACCACTCGGGAAGCCAGGACAAGTGGCAGTTGCAGTTCAGCGGATTACCCATCAGGTTCCTGCGTGTATGTAAGAATACTTTCTGAATACTTTCTGAATACTTTCTGAATACTTTCTGAATGCTTTCTGAATACTTTCTGAATACTTTCTGAATACTTTCTAAATACTTTCTGAATACATGTTCAAGTGTTGCACATGACTGAAAAGCTGTTGTTCAGGCATTCAACTGGTAACTTACAAAAAAAGAGGAAATTCAAATCTTTCCAAGACTTTGTACAGTGTTTTTCTATTTTCAATGGCACACATGGGAAGTCAAAAAGGAGGAAATCAGCTGATCCGAGGAAAAGTTGCATGCCTGTGTTGTTGTAGCGGTGAAAATTCTGGGGGTTTTCCCAGTAAATGAAAAAAAAAAAAAGGTTTGCAAGCTGTTACCAATTTTGATCTTTTTTTCCCTAAAAATAAGAAAAAAATCAAAAGTGTCCAATAAAATACCCAACAGCCATAACGCCCAGATGCTTTGTGGAAGAAAAAGAGAACGCTTAAGACAAATACAAGAACCTGGAGAAATCAGAAATCTACTTACACAGTGGAGAGCTCTTTGAGTGAGTCAAACGCTCCGGATGTAATGGTGCTGATCCCGTTGTCATACAAGGCCCTACGAAGCAAAAAAACATCAGATTGAAAATGGAACGAGAAGAGAAACGATGAGTAATCCCGGCAATCATTCAAAAGTCAGTCACAAGTCATAAAATCACAAGTCAAATCACGATTACCAGGAAGGAACAATAAAAAGGAGAACAATGGCGATAAATGCCTTTGTCATAGTCTGTAAAGCTTGACACTTTGACTTTGTGACGGGATGACTTTTGATGAAGTAACAATTGATTCGTGACGACTTGTGAGGAGTTGCCTTTGAAGAATGAGTCAGTCCGCACGAACTACAAGCTGCTAAGTATTCCTTGTATTCTCGTTTTCAAAGATTTGGTCCAACGGATACTTTACTTTAATCTGTGTGATTCTTTCCGTTTAATTTCTTTTAAGTTTTCAAATGAACTTCAAAAGGGAAACTGACAAGATGAATTATAACACTTGAAAAGTTGAACAAAGAAATTGACGGGAGCGGGGCTTGAACCTGCGACCTCTGGATAACCGTTCCAGTGCTCTTACCAACTGAGCTATCCAGCCCTATGTTGGCGGTTCCCCAATTCGTCAATATCTTTGTTCAAGGGGCGCTAGTCAGAAGCCATGAATCGGAATATACAGCCAGGGATCATGCCTAAAGACATGATACAGACCTGGGAAATGGCAAACGGGGATCACTCAGAGCGGACGCGGCTTTTTTATTACAAATTTTCAAATGAACCGCAAAGGGAAACTGACAAGGATAGCTCAGTTGGTAAGAGCACCGGAACGGTTATCCGGAGGTTGCAGGTTCAAGCCCCGCTCCAGTCAATTGCTTTGTTCATTTGAAATCTTTTAAATCTGAAAACAGGCGCAGATTATGTTCCAATTACGCAACCCCAGAGTCTACTTCGGATTTTCTGAGCTCTTTGTGGCTTGGAGAATCTTGTCTTTGATAAGTACCTTTAGGTTGTCTCATTGGAGGAGTACTTTCGTAGGGTCATCAGAAATTGATATTGGTAATCTACTCACAAGAGATCAAATTAAAACCGCATCCCATTCTCCTCCTTGAACAAGACCAGGGAAGTTTAATACAGCTGCTTGTAGACCAGCCACCCATCAGAGTGCAATGATGCTATTCAATTGATTTAGGTCGGCTATTCACTGGAAGTCTTTTCACGCATCTGGTCTACAGAATGGGCAAGATTAGCCCATTCATTGGAGTACGGGGTAATCCTATATGACAGCACTGCCCAGCTCTCTTCACCAGCCAAACCAGTCAAACTCACGGGGAGACAGTCAGTCAGGGAGTCAGTCAGTCAGTCATTGAGGTAACTATAGTTGAATCCGACGAACAGAATGAGAAGCATTTACTGCGGTGGTGTAGTGCTCACGTGCATACTGCACACGTTCTTAAAGACGAGGCGCGTGCGCATTTTGGTATTCCTATTGGTCGAAGGAACCCAGAGAGCGTGTGTACTACCGAGCACGACTCGCGCGAGCCGGGTGCCACCGCAGAAAATGGCTGCCGCCATAAAGAAGACACTAGGCTGGCTCTCTGGGACCAGCAAAAACCCAACAAAACAAAAGCTGAAACGATTATCAGGCCGTTTGTTACACTCACAGTAGGCGCAGCGATTTCAGTCCAATGAAGGTCTCGTTCCCGATACAGGTCAGCCGATTGCTTCTCAGATTCCTGACAAGGAGAACAAGTACAGAGATACAGTCATTACAATTTGAAACTGGAAGGGTACCATTGGTTTTTCGAGCAGGGTGCCAGTGGCTATTGTCAAACTGGAAAGTAAAATTCACCACTTCCCAGATAATCATCCAGCAAGCACGCGAAACAAACGTCTCGTTGTACACCTTAGTGCAAAACACCATGAAAGAAATTAAGCCGGTAACAGCCTATAATGCAAATCCATCACGGTTAGTACATTTTCTAAGTTATTTGCCAGTACTATAATTCAATCACATTTTGCCAGAGTTATTAAATCCAAAACAGAATTAGAAAGTAATACCATGTTTGTTACTTCATAAATAAAACAGGCTCATTAATACTTTTTGTTGGTAAAAAGCTTGAGTGGATCACTACATTAAATGCACTGTTGGTTTTTCCTATATGATTTTAGTTAAATTGAAATCTTGATGGATAAGTACAAACAATCTTTTATACACTGACTTTTAAGCACTAAACTAAGCCTTTCAAAATGGGTGAACCAGTATGCTCATCAATAGCCCCATAAATGTGGCCAATTTACTGGACTACCTCCGTAAACATAGGCCACACATCCACATGTACAAAAACGTGTCGCACTTTGCCAAATTTTGATTTTCACATTTAGGCTTAGTTTGTAGGGTTTTTTTGCTTTAGAAGCATACTCACCATCTTTATAGGCTAATCAGAAAGTGCTGCCTTTTTGAGATGTCTATTTTTCGTGAAATTTCCAGATTCATTTGCACACGTTTGCGCATCAAAATTTCAACATGAAATTTCACAAAAATTAGACATCTGAAAAAGGCAGCACTTTCTGATTAGCCTATAAAGAGGGTGAATATGCTTCTAAAGCAAAAAACCCTACAAACTAAGCCTAAATGTGAAAATCAAAATTTGGCAAAGTGCGACACGTTTTTGTACATGTGGATGTGTGGCCTATGTTTACGGAGGTAGTCCGGTAAATTGGCCACATTTATGGGGCTAGCTCATCAAGTGCATTAGATATACGTAAATATTATTTTTAATGGTGTTATAGAAATAACTGTGAGGTTCAGAGTACTTGTATGATTCAGTTTAGGCCTTGAAAAGAGTTTTTTTTTCACAAAAGGAAATTCAAACTTCCCACAGAGTAGGTTCAGTGATAAGTTGACAATCCACTTTGGGGGAAAAAAAAGTTGGCAAATTTCTCCAAGTTGAAAAGGGGGACGGATGTAGGAAATTGTGGAAGAATTGGCTGAAGCGTTGCACAGATAATGGAGAATAGCGACAAAATAGAACCTGATGTGCCACGGAACTCTTTGAAATTATGGAGCTGAGTAAACAGAGGGCTAATAGGGGGGAGGGGGTCTTAAAAGATGCGCCATTCACAAAAAGCAAGATAAGATAGCTGTCCTGTAGATAACGTAAACTTTCAAGATCATCTGGTCACCAAACTTCTCAGGCTGATCTGAAATGTTCATTGCCACTTTCATATGGAGGAAACATTCCAGGTTAAATTTTTGGAAAGGCAGACAATTTTGTTTGGTTGTCAGAGAACAAAACAAACTAAGGTTTCTATTTGTTCTACTTTGGTTATATGAAGGCCCTCTTGCTTTGAAAATTCTCAAGATCTGCATATAAGTAATGATGAAATATCCCTGGTAACTAGCAATTCTGTGAGTGATGGACCATCAAAGTGTTGTAGTACTCGTACTCGGAGTACAAATTTTGGTACTCGTACTTGTACTCGTGGAAACAAAATTCCCTTGTACTCGTACTCCTGACAAAGTACTCGTACTCCTACTCATGCAAAGTACTCGTACACGTACTCATGGAAATGCACTCGATTACAAGGCTGACATAAACACACAAATTTGTTCTGTAGTAACCATACATCTGATGAATGATATAGTTATTGTGGGAACCGAAGACGCTGTGGGGACAGCAGAAAGTTCCACAACTTGGTCCTAATTTCCCCGATAAAAGACTTGTCCACACGCAGTCAACGCCAACACACTAGTACACACTGTGTGCCAAGTCGATAATTGCTTGTTAAAGATATCCTCTGTTATTAAAAACTATGCTATTCATGACAGTCAAAGTGAGCTTTTAAAATCTGATGAGTTACATGTCTGGTGATTAACTCAGTAGATTGTGATACATGTCATTATTAATTATTATATATCTATATAAAATATATATAAATAAATAAATAAATAAGTGTTTATCATCACACAAATGAGTTAGTAACTACCAACCAACTTTTCCCGTGTAAGTGCAACAACATGATTTTGAAGTGACTATATTTGGTGATAATCTACGGTTACCGTGATTGAATAATGTCGTAAAGTCATCGACCGGTAGGTACCTACTTTTTAAGTGAAATGCGTTAGGATTCAACAACCGAACACAATACAATTTGAGAACCAAACCACTCTGTCGCCATGGTTTTTAAGTAAGGCACAAAATAACTTGACACCAAGCATTTTCATTCAAAAAGACATTTTTTTGGGTGAGTATATTTTGGTCGATTATTTCCCTCTCTTCATCCAGTGCTTCGTAGCATTTACACTGAGGCATTGCTGGCCTTCAAAATCCCCAAACCCTCAGCATTGCCAAGCACGAGAGAGGTACCGAATATATGTCCAAAAGTTTGCAAAAAAGTTAGCTCGAATTAATATCGATATTCACATTACCTTTCTAAACCCTTCACCACATTATCTCGACAAATCACAAGCCTCAACGGCCAATGCGAAAGCGGCTTTAAATGCCTAGATGGAAATATTGTAAATGGCAAATGTAGTGATCTTACCAGAATTGGGGTGTAAAAATATCTTTAAAAAAACTTGGAAAATGCCTTTAAAAATAGGCATATTGAAAATAAAGGGCGCAGTCTGCTGGATGTAACCATGCCAGCCATGTTCAACCAGCAAAACCCCCTGCTACAAACCCAAAGTTGTTCTTCCCCCTTCCCCCGCCCCCTGCCTCCCCCCTTCCCCATTTGACTACTAAGAGCATCAAAGTTAATCGAAGACAAACCTCACCGCATGCCCATTATACTAAGACTGCAAACAAGATGGTTAGTACATGTTAATTGCCTCATGCAGACACAAGCACACACAATGCAAAACCAGCCCAAAAAAATCCACGACATCCAGCACTGAAACTTATCGTTTTAGAAAAAAACGTTGACGTGTAAGTGACTAATTCTTCTGTTTCCGATGCTGTCGTGTTTTTCCTGCAAATTATTTGTGTGGAAATTGCTACGGATTTGACAAATTCCCAAGTGGTTGCCCCGGAAACATGAATAAATGTCAACCCAAATTAAGGACACTTTCAATCATATGTTGAACTGGACAAAATCCAAAAATATATGTTTATCATTCTGGAATGTGCTTCTATGACATCCTTTAAAATATATGATTTTTTCCCCAATTTTCCCTAAATTTATTTCATATTTTTTTTCTCTCTTTGTTTTAGTGCAAGTCCTTTTATAAATTAAGTATGTTTGCAATGCATGACCAAAATAATTCACCACGTCTCTGGTTTAAAAAGGTTAATAAAATAAACTTTAAAAGCTGGATTGCCGTGGATTTGACGACGAAGAAAAATGTCAAACAAGCAGAGCTACGTGAAGAAGCAAAACAGACAGACAGGCACCGATAATCCAAATTGAGTTATAGAGATGCACATTCGCAACACACACCAGTGGAGTGCAGGGAAATGAGGTGGAGACGGGATACTATACTTACAGAGTTCTCAGTTTTTTAAGTCCCGAGAAAAATCGTCCGCGGACTTTGGTGAGCTTGTTGTTAGTAAGCAGCCTAGAGATAACAACAACAACATTGCCAAAAAAAAGAGAGATAGACGTAGGGGGGAAAAATCACAAATACATGCGAGCAGAGCTTACGAGGGGCGGGAGTTGGAGATAAGAAGTGGGTGGGGTTTGGGGTAGAGGGCAGGGCTTCCAAGCTTGTGGGAGGAGTTTGGAGCATTAGGAAGTCTTGGGGACTGCATATATGAAAGGGAACAAAATGCATGCCAAGGCTACCTGTCTATAATGTACTTTTTTCTTCTTCAGTTTTTGAGACAGAGATTACCTGATTAGGTTTTGCTGTTTTTTTTACACAAACTTGCGACACGATTAAACTATAATCGTAGACAATCAAGAGGCTGTGTGGAAGGGGTCTGGTTGGGGTTGGAGGTGTGGTCATCGGGTGGGAGCGGGCAGTCTGACAAGTTGAGGGAGTGGACAAATTTAGAAGGGGAGCTAGGGTTTTGGGAGTGTACGACACTGATCCAGTGTTTAAAGACGAGGGACCAAAAAGTTCAATAGGAGATGAAAGCAATTTCAAAATGGATCGTCGATCTGGGGAAAGGAGGGGGGGACAGGGAACATTCAGACTTGGAGTGTGCAGACACTCCCTAGGTGGGGTCTGAGGCCAAAGTTTGAAATGCAGATGCCGTCTCCGTTATTGGCCTATATTTTATAGAACTACGGATTACGGATTATATTTTGAATTTCACATCTTGTTTTTGATGGAGGGGTGTTGGGGTAGGGGAGGAGGGTGTTGGTGGGGTGATGTTGTTACATTCCCAAAATTCTTTCGTGTAGATCTTCCCGGGGGGGGGGGGGGGGGGTCCACCACTTGGTTTTGGACCCCATCCCCTGAAAGAAGAGAAAAAAAACTTGAACATTGACATCATTTTCACTACTTGCCGGAAACGAAAGAGATAAGGAGAAAAAAAAAACAGGGTGATTCATCCCATTTTGGATTTGCTTTTGGAAAGAAAAAAAATCCCAACTGTTTCACGGCTCACCTCAGAAAACTGTGTCGATAAATTAGGTTGAGGAGCAGTGAACGTGACACGCACTGCCCTATCCAGTGTGTGAAAGAACTTGTGATCAAGGGTGCTTCAAAATGTTCTCGGTTGAACATTCAATGTGTTTATCTACTGACAAGTACTAGTAACACATGTAATCGGTAGCATGTAGTATTTCAAGTGGTCAGGTACTCGGTCCAGACAACAGCCTTGGCATGCATTTCAATGAGGACCTAATTGGGGGTGGGGCAAGCAGCTTTTGGGAAAGGGGGCGGTGTGTGGAGAGGGGAACAATTGAAAGGCCAGACATCACGCATGCTTCAACACTTTTACGGCAGAATTGACAAACACACTGTACAGAAAATTATCTTTAAGTACAGAAAATAATTCCACAAAGCAAGACCACTAAAAAATATACTAGACATAGCTATACAGAGTGACAAAATTATTTGGCTTCAGAAAAAAAAATGGCCGAAATGTTTTCACAATTTTTACATGGTGCATACAAAACTACCTATTTGTCAATATTGTATCTGACATTGAAATGAATGACACCTTCATTCGACTAATTAAATATTTCTGATCAGCAATACTTTCCGCTTAGTGATTTTATCAAATTGGCCACATAAGTAGATGGAGAGCCAAGTAAATTCACAATGACTTTTAAAGGGGATTTTCAATGTTTTTTGTTTGCGGGGAGGGGTGCTTTGATGATATTGTGATTCAAAAAGTTTGTTCACTGCAGAACTGACTTTGTTGAATATTTAAAAAAAAAAAAATTTGAATGATGAAAATGATCATTTTGCTCATGACTTCACTCAAAGAAAACAGCGGTGAGCGATTTTTTGGAGGGGAAAGCTAATCATGAGAGAGAGTCAATGCATTTTGAACAAAGTGAAAACTGTTGGATGAAATGCCGAAATTGAATTGAAAATGCAGCAGAAAATATGACCGTAAAAAAAGTAGGGTGCTGCATACAGCTTGAATGCTGCCACTTGACAATGACAAATGCAGGACATGTAACTGCACTTTTGATGTGGGTCAAAAACGTGTTCTACTACATAGTGAAGAGTGACTAATCTATTGGTAGCATTCAGCCTAAGGGAACCAATCACAGACATGAAACCAAAAATGGAATAAGTGGTACTCGATGGGACGATTAAAAGGCTTACAGTTCAAAAAGGTTGGCAGCCCCCTCGAACGCTCCTTCCTCTATGATGGAGATGCGGTTATTGCGGAGATCCCTGTAATGGATGTGGGATAAAAACAAATTAGTGCTATTGGACAGATGGGATGGAATGGAGGGAGGGGCTGATGGGAAGGGCGGAGCTTAGTTTATTTAAAGAGGGGGTTTTTCTCATTATGCTAATTTCTTTTCAACATTTTCAGTTGAACGATCCACTGAGCTTTGCCGAATGCTGTTTTGACAAATCGTGGGCTGTGATTTAAGGTCAAACACACATGCACAAATGTCAGACACGCGTGTACGACACACAAAGGGAGAACAACAGATCCCAGTCCTCCGGAAATGTGTCTTTTGTTGGAAACGGTCCTCTGTAGTAACTTTGTGTGCTTAGTCTATGGGAGAGTGTTATATTACAGGGACAAAGGGAAACACAAAGCATTGTCCTCGAGAGTATAGTAAAACAAGAGTGTATAACACGCAGTATGGCATCAGAGAGGGCCACATGTTGTAGCCAAAGTGTGCAGTGGGCGTGGCTAAATGGATCAGTCCATGTAAACATTTGACGAGGCTTTCAAGAAAGATTTATTGGCCCGATGGGCAGGGGTAATAAAATATCCGGTCACGTTTATCGACATAATGAGCCAGCTAGTCAAGTTCTCCTCTGGAATCCTGAAGCCCCTCGACGAAAAGGTCGTCCCAACATGACCCTGAAAACATCCATCGAGCTAGAAACTGGTCTGAGTGGTCCATCTCTTTCCAACACTATGCTCGACAGGGACAGTTGGGCCCAACTCATCAAGTCATCATGAAAATGAGTGAATGAAGAAGAATAAAATATCGCTACATTTCAAATATATTGCGAGGCTACTGAGAAAGTTTTCACTTACAGTTTGCTGAGGTTGATCAAGTTGAGAAACTTTCCACCAGCAGAAATGCGGGATATGTCATTGTCATTCAGGAGTCTAGAGGGGAGAAAACATAAAATAACAAATATTACTTCAAAAATAACTTCAAAAATAGGCATTTGCTACATTACAATTCAATTTCAATTTCAATTTATTTCAATTTCAATTCAATAACATTTATTTCCAAATAACCATGAGAACAAGAAGTCATCAAGAATATATTGTATTCAATTGTATATACAATGTATATACAATTGAATTTAAATATTTTTATTATGATTTTTCTATTCATTGGCATTTATACATTCTTTTCATTAACAGGTTGATTCAAATGATGAGTTTTCGTACACTTTTTGCATATGGTCTTATTTTTATGTTTTTTTTATGTAAGATGTACTCACAGCTCAGTCGTGTACGTGGGTATGTTGTCAGGTACAGAGTGGAACCCTCGGTTCGAGCAGTCCACGATCGTTCCGCTGCAACTACACGATTCAGGACAATCGGAATCGATGAAACAATCCCCAGCATGCATGGTGCGTTGGTATTCCGCATCTGAAAGAAAAATGCCATTGGTGAAAAATCAGAAAAATTTCTGTATAAAGTAAAACAAGAGTAGAAAGTCAAAAAAACAGGCATGTGTTCCACAGTTCCAATAGGCGTATGTTGCCACGTTTGCTAACTCCCCAAAAAGCATGACTTATTAAACACATACCTTTGAATGATTCAATATCTGAAAGGACCAAATAAGGCACAACTCTACTAAAGATGTCATTTCACATTTGTGGAGGGCAGTCTCAGTACTTGCGGGTAAAACTAATGGGGACTGTTGTGAACTTAAACCAAATTAAAGTCCAGTGCGGACAGCCGGTAAACTTCCCAAATTGTCAAGTGTCAATGTTGATTGTAAGCTTTACGGTCTGCACCAGAAAGTTTTACAGGGCCAACTGGGTCACGGGAAATTACCTTGTTAGTTGTTTACTAACGAACGACTTTCTGAGGTCTACAATAAATCCACGTGCGGACGCAATCCAAGCGCGGTAGAACAACCAAAATGGAATGTTAACAATCACACACTTTAACTTTTTACAAAATAAGTCCAATGTGAACGTGTCTTAAAGCTACAGTCCATCATTTGCAGCTATCCAAAAAGTAACTGACATAATTATTGTTGAAAAACATACTTAGTTGAAAGATAGTAAGGGGACTAAACTCCCTGTGAAATTATTCTTTCTTGCATGCTGTCATTTTAACGAAATCAACGAAAGAAGGCCTTTCCAACGGTGTCCGTTAGTAGTTTGTTTTTTTTATTTGAGAAGCGAGCGCAAGCGTTTGCATGACACACATGAGTGCGGTTGCTATAATTCGTGGGATCGGTGCGCGACATCGCGTAGCTGCAATCGGCTCAGTGAGAACGTGTCTCGGATGCTGAATTCAGGCCCAATTCAAAATATGATTCAGCAACTTTTGATTTGAAATCGAGATCCTAGAATGCTGGTTTTTTTTCAGAATATACTGCTGAAGCTGAGCTGAAACTTCATCAGGTTAGTTGTTCAGCACCATTCTTAAGATTTTGACATTTGTTGCTTCAAACAAACAAAATGCACAAATTACAAATGATGGACTGTACCTTTAAGACTCTGGACACATAACAGACACATCCATTCTGCCTCACCTTTGCATTTGAACTTGATGCTCTTCATGCGATTGAGTCGCTTGCCCTCCATCCTGCGGGGGTTCTCGCAGCGGGCCCCGCTCTTCTCCACCGGGTTCTCCGCCAGGTATTCCACCAACCACTTGACGTTGCAGTCGCAGATCAGCGGGTTCCTGGCAAGATGCCTGCAAAGCCGGGAAGAGGGGGGCAAAGAGATGGGGGAGGCGCAAAGAGGAAGGTTGGGGAGGAGATGAAAAAGTAAGGAAAACTGTAATTTCAGTGATCTATAATAGTCATTTGTCAAGTCAGCGAAAATTGCATATGACATCATTACATCCCTCAAATACCACCGTGCACATGATTGACTTTGTCTTTGGTGTCGTGCTTTTCCTCGGCTGCAAAGCCATGTACTGCATCAGAACAACTGGTGGACAGCTCAACAGCAACACTGTATAAGATTTGAGGCTTTGCATGGTGGAGTATCGGTATCGTTTCGGTTTGCGGTAACACCATGTGGTAATAACTACTGCTTAGAAGATATTTAGTTCTGAAAAGAACTTGTCCTGCTTATTATCAACTTTCGCTAAGTAGTTTTTGTTCTGATAAGAACAGTCCTGCTTTAAGTTCTAAAAGAACTTGTCTTTGGTCTTAACAGTCTCCTGACGATGACTAGAGCAGGCTAGTTGAAACGTTGAGACCAAAGACAAGTTCTTTTAGAACTTAAAGCAGGACTGTTCTTTTCAGAACAAAAACTACTTAACGAAAATTGATAATAAGCAGGACAAGTTCTTTTCAGAACTAAATATCTTCTAAGCAGTAGTTATTACCACATGGTGTTACCGCAAACCGAAACAAGAGCAACACTGTACTTTACACAAAGATACAACAGTGTTCTACTGCCTTAAATTTTGCTCAATTAACCATAAATACTAAAAAAACGCAAACAATAATGTTTGGTAACTGTTATGCAAAAGCTGGTGCACAAAAAGCTAATGTGGAATGGGCTCCCTCAATGGTAAGAAAGGGAGAGTTGGGGGAGACCACTGGGAGAGACATTCAAACGCATTGCAGACAACGCCTGACGCTCGCGCGAAGATGCTATGGCTTTGTGCACTTCAGAAAAACATTAGTTATGCGTACTCTGCGCCAGTGTTGTAGTACTCGACTGCAGCACTACTTTGCACCATACGCGTGCAACCCAATGCGCGCACACAGTGTGGACCTCGAAAGTGGTCAAACAGCGCCCTCTCTTGATGTTCATGTGCAGAGCCCATAAGTTTTAGCTTGAAATGGGGCGGGAGTACAAACAGTGAAAGTGACACATTAACCCTCCTATGCAAACTTATATTCTGTGCCAAGTTGTCCTTTCGGTCAAAATCAATCAAGTGACTGTTTTTAACAGTTAAGAGCTCCCAGCCTACATAAAGCAGGATTGACTGACTGTGACTGTTTGTGTAACTTGATACAGCTATGCTTTGACTGTAGGTGATTGATAAGCCAGCTGTGCCTACCACTTGCCTGTTTTTGTCTGTTGACCAATTTGACCAATTTGACCAGTCACTGTGCTTGCGTGAAATGTGATCTGACCGTTGGTGACTAGCCTGTGTAAAAGGCATGGCAGGGAAACAGGATTGATTTTTCGACCGTCTCTGACTGTTCAGATAGCAGGAGGGTTAATTGCGAAGTCAGACAACGGGGCTGCTGCAGGCAGCACATGATTGTTTACTCCAAAAATTGTTTAATTTGCTTCTAGTCATGGATTAACCTGTCCAATCCCCACTGACACCAGACATCACAGGATTGTCTGGAGTGGACTAACAAAATATTTCCTCAACTGTAGCACACAGGACATTCAAGTAATTTGATTCATGTGCAAGGTTGCAGACAAACTAATTGGTCGGGAGACATTCCGCGGCTCCGTTATTGCCATGGCAACCATGTCCAGAAAGAAATGGCTGTAGGAACTGGAAGATTTCCCCCAAGATGTCCCTCAAGAATTAGTCGCTCCCCTCGTGTCACTTTGATGATGAGGGATTTCTATAGCCATCAAGAAGACATCAATGGATAAAAGGCTGAGTATACTGTCCATCGAACAGCAAGAGGCTTACTGTCCCCTCGGACAATACTGGGCCCAGTATTCCCAACAAGTTGACAGGTTTTTTTCATTCAATTCAGTTCATTTCAAGAGAGGCATTAGATTGAACACTACCAAAACAGAGTTTCTGAAGAAGGCAGCATTTTAAACGAGGCAGTGCAAACGCTGACAGCAACTGTTTATTCCTTTTGATTGTGGAACTGAAAAAGGAAGGTGACACTTTTACTGATCTGGGGACAAATGATGAGCTTTAATCTCCCTTCAAAATCTCAAGGAGTTTCAGCGATGCAGCCCTTGTGAATTCTCAGACTAACAAAAAATCAAGCTGCCCTTTTAAGACGTTAATTCGTCAGTTTTTTTGTACTTATCCACACCGAAAAACAAGCAGCCCCAGGCATTTTGACAACCGAGCATGGAAGAAGCGATACTTTATTCAGCTTTTTGTAGGATCGCTGCTATTGTGGAGTCCTGAAAGGTATTAAATTCAGACCAAATTAATTGGGTGCTGGCTGTCGAGCTTTTCCAATTGCAAACACTCTAGCTGTTAAGTGTGTGTTAAGTTCCGGTTTAGACATGCTTTAAGTCCGAGTATGAAACAAGTGGTTATGAAAAGGTAAGATTGGCAAATGACATGAGGTTTTTTTTAAGTAATAAAAAATGGGTCAGTACTGAATGAAATGAAGAAATTTAACCAGTTCGCGCCCGTATTAATTTGACATTGATATTTCCGGCCTCACTCGCTGCGAGTGGGTGGGCCGCAGACAGGTATTTCTGGCATCGCTCGTCGCATGTGATCCATCATCCGTTCCGAATACCGCAAAACCTTTGCGTGTAAAGACATAACCCACTTAGACCATGTACTGCCCCAAACCGCCCTGCCTCTTACTCCTTATACCGCCCCAAACCGCCCCAGCTCGCTATGGTATTATGGATTTATCAAGGAGTAAATACTATGTAGTACAATCTAAAACAAACTTACAGCTTTGCTAAAAGATGAGATTTGAAGGTTTGCATGGTGGAAAGATACTAAGACAAGATAAGTTTGCGGTAGCACCATGTGAATAAATCTCTTTTGTGAGTATGTGTGGTTCTGAAAAGAACCAGAGGGACTCAACGTTTCGAACAGTATGCTCTGCCCGTCGTGCTAAAAGGTGAGAGTTCAAGATTCAAGCTGAGGACAAGTTAAAGTTCAAGCGAGACTTCCGTGACTTTGAGAAATCGCACAAGGACAGAAGTCAGCAATTTTTTTTAATCGAACCGACGTTACTCATGAGGTACAGGAACTGAATTGGTGAATCCCAGACAAACCTGGAACACAACGAATTGCATCACGATGAGTAATCCTGCACTGTTAGCATTCCCCCTTTTTTTTTTGGAAGGGGGAGGGAGGGAGTAGCTGGTGCCTGCAGCCAACCCCCTAGGTCCCTTCCCAATTTATGCTTAGGTTCAGGTTCCATTCTTTCCGGTTCCTCTACCGTGACCGGGGCCATTGGGGTGTACACTAATCAATCCCCTGGAGGAGGAGACACGGCGTGCTGATGGATGCGTTGCAGCACCTATGTTTGCAGTCTCTTGGAAGGGAGGGAGAAAGGCCAGGAGGTGGTGGGGGGGGGGAGGAAATTTAAAACAGGAAGGGAAGAGGGAACGATTAAGGAATAAATGGATAGCTGATAAGCACTCCAGAATGAAACTCATAAAACTTGCGACAAAATTAGGTCAAACCTGGCAAAACTATTGAATAGATTTTTGATTTGGAAACCAGGGCCCAATTTCATAGGCTCTACCTACCACAGATTTCCGTGCTTATACGATCACCATTCTGCGCTAACAGCGCAAGCAAAACAATTATGTGCTCAATAACCCTGTAAGCACAGAATCCTTACTTACAGGAGGTATGCATGCACAGGAGTACAAATCCTTTTTACTTGCGAAAAATGCTTACCGTAAGCACAGAATTGTCTGCTATAGTAAGCGGAGATTTTCCGCTAATAGTAGGCAGAGCTATGAAATTGGAGCCAGATCTGAAAATTAACCCGGTAAGTTTAACAGCTGACAACTAAATAACACTGATGACAACTGTCTGTTTCACAGTCGTCTGTGAAGTACCCAATCCAATTTTGATTTTGAAATCAGACAAAAATAAACTTGATATGTTTCACAGCTGAAAAGTAACTACTAAGAGAGTTGTAGATTCTTTTGACAATTTTTCGTCATACAGTCATCTTTGAAGTATGCAATCCTTTTGAAGTCACTATCCTGGGGTTTTTTTTTTTTTTTTGCTTCTTCCTCAGACTCATTCCATTTGAAAAAATTCAGATATTTTCCAGCAGTTATAATAATTATCAATTCATTTCAAATTCGCACAAACATATTTTGGCTAAACAAACAGCACTTTGCAGTTGTTTTGGGAAGTGAGGTTGGTTTTCCGGTTGATCGCCCTCCACTGTGACCCAGGTTCAAATCCAATTCAGGCTTGCATGTCGATTGCATTTTTTAGTACCTAGCTGATTCTACATTTACCCAAAGTTTTCATCTGAGGTTTGCCTCCCACCCCTAAACTGTACATTTCTTCACCGTCTTTACTCCGCAGGTTCCATCAGGCTTGGGAGCTATGGTGCAAATGGATGCTTTCAAAGAATTCTTGGTTTTCATTACCAAATATAACTAAAATAAAATGATCCTTTACCGTAGGAACATAACCTTTAAATGGATAGACAAAGTTCCAGGTTTTATATACAAGTCACAGTGTATATAATGTGGTGCTTATATAGCGCTTTATACCTATAAGGTGTCAAAGTGCTTAACAATTATTATCCCTCTTCATCAGGAATAAGACCAGTTTTCTGCAGCAGCTCAAGATCAGTGCAATTTGGTCTCTACCTTCACAGGTACCCATACTCCTGGATGGAGAGAGGCAATCGTAGCAAAGTGTCTTGCCCAAGAACACAAGCACCACGTTCCCTGTTAGGATTCGAACCCACGTATCACAGCACATGAGTCGAACACCATAATCATTGGACCACAGTGCCCCCATGTAAGCATTGTTGAATAATGCAGGAAAAAACCTCAATTAAAGCACATTTCCTATGA